TTTTTAGAAAAAAAAGACAAAACTGATTTTGTTGAAAAAAAAAAAAAAAGAACTGTTCTTTCTATAATGGCTTTGCCCATTTAAAAAATGTGGCTCTTAAGGGTTCATGAAATGACTGAATATGAGGATACATGTCCTGTAGAAAGCAAATGCGCCTCATATACTGCCAAAAATAGTGTTAGTTTCATTAATGTGAATTTTCCAGCATTCAGTAGTTGTAATGTTAGAAACAATTGCTGGTCAAGTTCAACTTGTTGCTATTGTTTTTAATTTGCACAGGAGTAGTATCAGAAATTAGTGTCACTGCTTGTATCTAGCTGAATTTTAAACAACAGAACATTAGTTTTTTATGTTGGTGCCACCAACTGTAAATGACATAAGTTAGTTATTACAAAACACAGTAATTAGACTGTTGCAACCATCTAAAACCTTAGGCTTCCAGTCTGTGCTGTTAGTGTTAAGATGTAAAGTGCAATCCTAAGCTAACATTATCTGTGCAAGCACCATAGAAACATTTGCATATCTGCATAGATCTTACAACTGTACTCTTTACCTCCTTGTGATAAAGCTTTGTCTACCTGCAAACACAGTCAAAGGCTACAGCTGCAAACCAAAGCCAACTCTAACCATGGCCAAGAGCTCAAGGACAGAAGCAGCCACATACTTTGGTCAGCCTTCTGTAACTTCAATTAGTACAAAGGAACCTTTTCCGTGAACTACCTGCTGTTTTCTGATGACCTCTGGGATCTTTTCATTTAGCCCTAAACAAAGAATCAAATATGACAAAAACCACAACTAAAAGCTAATTCAGTCACAGAGTAATCTTCTGAGGCCAAAAGTCCATCTAAACGCAATGAAGATTTGCTTTCATTAAAGACAGAGGTGAGGACAAAATCCGCAGTGGAAGTGATGATATGCTAGAAAGCAACAAATGTGGATCACTGACCAAAACGATTATGTACTTGATGCAAATGCAGATTGCATATTGTTATATAGAGAGTACATTGTGTTTTTGTTTTCCCCCATCCGGTCACTTATTTTTGGTGGTGAATACATGTTGTTAGAAGATGTCTTGTATGGTCTTAATCTTTGTTGTGAACTATTTTTTATAGTCTTAAGTTATAATGAAAAAACAAAAAGTAGGAACCAAACATAAAAGGTCTAGTAAAGCCAAAAATTAATTTCATATTGATTTTAAAGTGATCTAGCTGAGTTTTTACACTGAAAGCAAAGATATAGCAATTGTAGTCCATGGTATTTATTTTCAGTCAAACCAAAGTTACATATAATTCTGCCTCTGCTTATACGGGATATTAACACTAACAATACACTCCCTTTCAAAGACTTGCACAGGCCAAATTGTTGGAATGCTGGTTTTCGCGACAACTCCAAACCCCAAAACTATGATAATGCGTTATGGTGTAGTTGAAAATAGCATAGTCAGATGTTTGCTTAAAACCTAGAAACTTTACGTGTTGCTTTTCATGTGCTGTGCCAAGTCTTGATAATACTTTTTCCCCCAACCAAGGGACCTCATAACCTGATTATGGTTATTGCTTTACAAACAGTTTTGACAGAAGGTGGCTGCTAGAGCTTAACATACGTACCCGTTCCATGTGATGGAGCCGGTTCTTGCAAACTAAGCTCATCCTTTATTCTTTGCTGAAGTCAGCAAATAGAGTTAGAGAGATACCCAGTCATCTATCACACCAAATAAAAGGACATAACGGCTTTCAAAAGGGTTTTCCCACTTACCCAAAAGGCTTTCTGAAAGCTTCTACCTCTGCAAAAAAAAAGAAAAAAAAAGAAAAAAAAGAAAAAAAATTAGAACAATTATGGCAGATTGCATGAAACGTGAGAACGTCACAGTAACTGCTACTTTTCATTATGTTTGTCTTTGGGTCATGATCAACGAATGGGAAGTTGACGATACGGTATCAAAAGAAAGATTGGTGTTGTGAAGGATGGTTTTCAGTCATCTAGGATCCTACTGTAAGGATTATCTGAAGGGAAAATGGGTCTTTCAGGTGCGTGTTCTAAAGGCTTTGCTGGACTGAAAGTAACTCTGAGAGCTGTACCATCAGGAGGGTGGCCTAAGACTACAATGCTAAAGTATGCATACCTCAGTTACAAAACTTTTGAAAGGAAGTCTCAGCCACAGAATGCATATACCTGTAGAGTTTTGCATGGGTTTTATATGAATACAATTTTAAAAAATAGCTGCTTGCACATTATACCAGAAAAACCTCCAAAACTGCAATTGCTTTGAAAATAGATTTTAGGTTTTTTGGAGTTTTCTGAAATGCTTGGTCTGTATTTTGATAATTGTGCATATTATGTAAAAATGTTGGTGGACCCATAAATGACCAGACTTTTTCTAAGAAAAATGTTGCTTTAATGCATTTCATGAATTTTTACTCTTATATCATTGCTTGCTAGTAATAGCAAATCTGCTTTTCTGCATCTGCTTTGCGTAGCTATTGTAAGGCTTTGAACTAATGTATGTATTTATTGCTTGAACTTCTGTGCATACCTTATAAAGCATAATGTCTGACAATTTAAATGGCTCATGTATTCTTGCTTCTATCATAAGCTGATTATGGGGACTATGATCTTTTGTATACAGCAAATTTTAACTGTAGCACAAACATCTGTTTATGTATTGGTGGAATATACCTGTTTTATTTATCTTTTTTGAGGTAAACTAATTTTTGATACTTTTCATTACTGTGTACTATGTTCATACTTTGAATTCTCTGACGTTAGAAGTCATGGTTGAGAATTGTAACAGCTGTTATTCGTTCTGTATTCATGGCTTTCACTGCTGAATAAAATAAAGGACCAAACCTAGGATTTGAAAGAAAACTGTCTACCTCTAACACCAGGGAGTTATCAGATTTTATTTTACGTAGTTTTAGTCTACAAAGACACAATTGCTTAAACCTAGTGGGCTTAAGGCTTATATTCTATGTGGTTGGATTCATGGCACAGTTGTACTTGTTTGAAAATCAATTAAAATTTCATGTGAATGTTACAAGTATTTGGTAGCATTACCACTAACTGGGTTTTCTTTAGATAACTCAGATATGGAGAAAATGTCATCAGCATTCTGTGTCTACAGCTGCTTAACTTCATAAGAATGCATTTCTTTGTGATTAGGGAAGTGAAGAATAGTCAGCTAGGAATAGAGCTACAGAAGTACACTTAAAATAAACCATCCTGGACTTGAACGTCCCTGGGCAGATTCAGTTGCAAATTCCATTAGACTCTTTTGTAAAGTTTTCAAATTGGGCGTTCACATTTTGGAGAATCTGTGAGACTTTATCCCACACATGCCAATATTAATACGCATTTGGACAATAGCTTTATTAATGCCATAAAGCTATTGAAAGGAACATGGCTTACCCTTGTTATTTCACTAGTTCAGGTTGCAGTGAAAGGTTTTTTTGTCCATGACCACTTGGCAAATCTAACTTAGCAAAAAAAGAAGGATGTACATTTTCCTATAGAATTAATGTATGAACAGTGTGTCACTGCTGTTGGATGTAAAAATGTATATGAAACCATTTCATTCACTTGATTACATTTCTGAAGTATAAATAAAAAATCTAATTCTTTTTGACCCATTTATAACCCCTAGGATTTTATTCTTTCAGAGAGACCATTCTTCCCTGCCAGAACCAAGTCATAAATTTGTGTACACATGTCCCACAATTTGTTTAAAATCATTGCCTTAGGAATTGGGGATTCATAAACCAAACCATACTCAAATTTAGTCAATAAAAATGGGGGCTGCTTGTCAAATACATTCCATTAAAAACTATTTTCAGGTTCAAAATTGGCTTCCTCACATAATCAGCTCATGTTTTCATTCTAATACAATTTGACATCATAAATTCTGAACCTTAAAAAAAAACAGTGGAAAACATGATTACTTTACCCCTTTTAACTTTATGACTTTTCTTTATCTTGTTTTTTTTTTTTGCCTCCAAATATCTGTTATACCCCTAGCATCCTGCCGTGGTTTAGGAGAATATGCAGGGATAGTGTAAGTAGCTTTCTAAGGGAAAGCTGCTCAGGCCTTTAAAATCAGTCCCAGACCTAAATTAGTGGCCAAAACAGGCAAGATAGGGCCTCTGCAGAACAAAAGTTTTCCTTTTTCTTTAACTTCAATATATAGTCCTAAATCTGTCTTCAGGGAAGGGAAAATAAATATGTTGAGTATGTTTTTATTTTATGCATAATTGAATGTTTTCTGTCATCTTAGTGAGAGAGTACCCTGACAAAAGAGCTTTCCACAGGATAAAAATTGTTTTACAAGAAATATGAACATGAGATTAATTTTCTTGAGCCTTAGAATTCATTTTTCACTATTGATTAGTTGAAAGTGAATACCAACTTGCCCCCATGCGGTGTACTTCGTTAACTTATTACAGGCTACATAACAAGGTGGGAATCCGGTTCTCGAACTCTCTGTTCTGTAATATAGAGAAAACAATTTAGAGATTAAAACTAACAATTTAAGAAAAAAGTAAAACTGATTTGACAAGTGTTTCGTACTTAAATCTAAGTTCAAACTCATGTCAGCCTGTAGTTTAAAACATTATGTTGCCCAGATATATTGTGTTGGGTCACTGGAGGATTCAGGTGCTTTGTAAAAAGCTGCTCACTAAATTATTTTGAATTTTTAAAAATTAAAAAGAAACAAAAAAGATGGCAAGTTAAAATCGAACTACACAGAATAGAAATACAGCTGGCGAGTCACATTCTAACCATTTCCCAGACAGAAGGAATGAAAGTAAGTATTCACATCTTTACTGTTTACCAAATGAGATTCAGACAAATTCTAACTTTAAATGCTGATGAAGGAAAAGAATCTAAGCTACATCTTTTCACTGTTAATCAGTTTTTAAATTGCATATAAAACTTTTTAAACGCCAAAGCACAAGATTACTGCATGAGAATGTGTAACTTGAAAAAATGAAACATGGTTTTACCCA